GAAAGCTGTGTTGTGTGTATGCTCNAAATGGTAAAAGATTATAAACGCGACCTTTTGTAGACCAGTTCTAGCTTGAACAGGTGACACATTATGCCGGATTTGCAGCTCATTTGGCATTTGTCTGCAGCCAAGATTCATCATCATAAAATTGCTTTTGTACAACAACAGCAACAGAAAGCTGTGTTGTGTGTATGCTCAAGAAGAGGCGGCTGAGCAAACGAATGCTTTAGCGCTGTACGGCAATGTACGGCACTGTACTAATCAGCCTTTCCATGTCTCTATGCCTGTGTATGCACAGTGGCAGCAGCAACCGCACTGTGTTGTGCATCATTACAAACGCCGGCTGTTTTGATAAGGAAAAGACAGACTAGACAACTTCTGCTGACAATGATGATGCTGCAGATGCGGAGATGATAATAATAATAATAAGGATTTTAAGAGTGATGCAATAGCACACACGCAGTGCTCGACAATACAGCGGTAGTTTTAGTGATGCACCTAGGCAAGCTAGCTATCTATACCGACAGTACACCGTACAAACCGTACTTACCGGCAAAAACTTGCAGCAATGATGATGGGGATCACAGTGGGAGTGATGGCTGTAGCGGGAGAGGTGGCCAGAGGATTGAAATTGTTGAAATTTGAGAAAGAATGAAAAATGTTTCAGTGTCTGTCCGACAATCCGAGCAAGTGGTGATCACAAGTGTTCCCGAGTTGTTGTACTTTTCGCTTCTTGTGGCGAGTCCTATTTACCGCCACTACTTGCACTCTTAGCTAGTTGATTATCACAGGCAATGTGAGGGTGAGAAGATGAAGAAGAAAAGACAGAAGAGTCGAGAAACTCGGGCAGATAAGAGATGACGGTGGCAGAGACCTTGAAGAGGAATGGCCGGCCGGTGCTCAGTTCGGTTGCTCGCTCTTCTCCTAAGCAAAAGGAGGCTCAAAAGCGGGAGCAACAGCGGCCACAGAAAAGATGTTGCTGCCTCTGCTGCTGAGGCTGCTGCAGCTCTGATAAGCACAGAGTCGATCGAAGTTTTAACAGTGTTGTCGCTGATGATGATGACGGTGGTGGTGGTGGTGGTGATAAGTGTCCCACTCGGCGGTGGTGTGCATCGTCTGTGCAGTCGCTACACTTGCTGACCCTGCCTCAGTGAGTCAAATCTTCTTCGTCTGGTGCTGATGCCGGGGTGCTGATAGCGATGTGTGTGTGTGTGCGCTCTGAAGTGAAATGAGAGTGAGTGAGTGAGAGTGAGTGAGAGTGAGTGTGCGAGGCGCTGCAGGCAACAGTGGCGATGCTGCCGATGCTGCCGCCGCCGCTGTACGGTTACTCACTAAAGACTAGTTCAAGTTTCACCAGCCAATGCTGTGCACACACACACACAGTGTGAGTGTGAGCTGTCCTGCTTCCCGGACTATGAACTTTGCTCGGCGGTGGCAAGAGGAAATCACAATCGCAGAGAATAAGAAAGAAAGAGAAAGAAAGAAGAGACACCAATGCAAACCAATGGCCACAAGAGGGACAGAGGGATGTGGGGGCTGCTAGGCTAGGCGTTCAGTGCTGACTGGCTGGCTGACGAGCTGAAGGCTGATAAGAGCGAGGGAGAGACTGATAAGGCTATGAGGATGAAGTGTGCGAGGAGCGTTGTGTGTAGTGTGAAGCGTCACTGAATCATACTGATTCAACAGACGCACTAGATTGCAGTCTCTCCTTATTAGTACAGTGCAGTGTACAGGAGACAGAGAAGGAGGAAGAAGAAAAAGAAAAAGAAGAAGATTGAAAGCTTACCGAACAGTGAACACCAGTGTGAGGTCCACCACACACGAAGAGGAAAAAGAGAAAGAGAGGCGGACAGCTGACAATCAGATAGTGTTGAAGTGGCGGCCGAAGCAACCAAAGCACATTTCACTTCACTTCAGAGTCAGTCCTGGCTGGTCGTCATTGCCGCTGAGCTTGTTGCTGCTTCTGCTGTTTCTCTTGTACAGCTCTTCTTCTTCTTTTCACTCTTGTTGTTGACGTGTGGGACCTGGTCGTGGCAGTGAACGCGTCAGCACAGGAACACAGTCCACAGTCCAAACTGTCAGGAGAGAGGGAGAGAAGGAGAGAGAAAATAGAGAAAGATCAGAAGATCAGGTGAAATTGAATGTGCTGTCTCCACGTACCTAGAGATCAGGAGAAAGTGTTGCTCTCGATGATGATAATGATGATAGTGACGAGTACCACTGATGACTTTGGCCGAAGAAGAAACAGGAGAACGGCGTAAATGCAGTTGCAATAGCGAGGGATTGCAACTGCTGCCACCGCTGTGCGGACAGCAGCAAACAGGCAGAAACGATGACGATGAATTTGGCCTAAGAAAGTACTGGATCTTAAGTACAAGAACAGCATGAAAAGAAAGAGAATCGTCTTAGCGTTTCCGTGTTTGTTGTTGCACACGCTGTCACTGTTGACGAGAAAGAGCGAGAGCGAGAAAGCACTCTGTCTTGTTGTCACTTGCCGAAGCTGCAGCTCGGCGGCGGCGAGAATCGATTCTCCGATTGAGCTAGTCGATAGTCGATAGAGCCGGCCGCCGCCGCTCTCACAACAAAACATCGGCAAAACAACCGCCAACTTTTTAATTTTGATACATTGTGTAGATACATCTTTTGTAGACTTTTGTTTTTTTTGCATAACGAAGCTGTTTCTGGTGTTAAACAATTTGATTGCTGCCCTGGACACAAATTATCTGCTAATTGTTTTTAATAGGCAAGTCTATCGTTTGCAGTGCTGTATTCTTTTTCATTAACTGCCGTTTTGTTTTTCTAATTTGTGTTGGCAGATGGACGTCAATGGTCGGGTAATTCCGCTGTTAGAGGAAGGGGCAAGAGACTTTAGTGCACTTGGCACAGAGTAAAAGCTAGCAACCTTTTCCCTGTCAATGGCACTACAGCACACAGCAAGTGACTGTAACTGAAACTGCAACGCGTATTTCCATCACACTTTTCACTTTCTTATCTAATCTCAGTCGAGTAAGTTTGTTCTCTGGTAAGTAGTGTTATTATTAACCACCAATGTAGAGGTGCAAATCAATGCAAACAAAAAACGGAGTTCATTGTAAAGTTTTCAGCGCGCATTATGAAATGTTAGCAATTCTCAAAACGCTCAAACAGTTCTTTACTATTTGAATTTTAATTTTTGAACCGTTTGAAAATATTTTTTCATAAACAGACATGCAAGGACAGTTTGTTATCATTGCAAAAAAAATGTTATTATTATTGATAGGAGATTGTCTCTAAGATTACAACTACTCAACTACTACTTCTGCTCAGTGCACCCGACCAGAAATTGAATTCTCAAGCAGGAAACAAAACATTCCGATTTTGCTGTAGCTCAAATATTAATTTTATTTTGGTACATTTTTTCAATTTATAAAACAATTGTGTGCACTCTTTTTGATTAACAAAATGCGCATTTTCAAAATCATTTAGCTCAAAATTACTCAAAAACTCAAACTCAATTGTCTATTCACTTTCATTCTTCGATCTTTTTGCTACTGGTGACAAAAATGGGCTGCTTTGATAACCACCAAACCTAGCAAACAAAAATGACAAATTCAAACGCAAATTGCAAGTGGTGTGACTAGATGACGACAATGATGGTAATGATGATGATGCTGGTGATGATGCCCCTCTCTGCACTTTAGTCTCTGATGCACTTCAAAAGATGTCTTTCTTAGATGCGGCTGCTGCTTCTGCTGCTGCTGGCTGTGATGTCTTTTCACTTGATTTAGCCTTTGCCCACCGATTATCACAGTTCAGCAGCAGCAGCCTAAGTTGCAGCACTACTTCTACCAGGAGCACCAGTGCGGGCGGTCGAGCACTGAACGAGAGAGAAAGAGAGAGAGAGAGAGNAGAGAGAGAGAGAGAGAGAGAGAGAGAGAGAGAGAGAGAGAGAGAAGTGTACTTTGTATCGGGTACTCTTCACTAGTGCTTATTTTTAGACGACTTCCCATCTTCAATGATCGGTGATGGCGATGGCGATATCACTGGACTGATGAAGTGAATCCACACATGCTTTGGTCGCACTTAAGTGAACACAGCCAGTTTTCCTGCTATAAAAGGCGACCAACCAACAGGCTGGTAGTTTCATCAGTGAAAGCAACTCCACAGTCAACCAGCTGCAGTCTTTGAAACCCTGCTGTTCCAAAAGCATACCGAAACCCTCCCCCTCTTTTCTGCCTGAAACCCTTTGCCGTCCTCTTCCTATGCTCACCAGCCTAATGGGTCGTTATGCTTACGTCGTTCCTGTTGACTTTTACTCCTCGTACGCTTTAAGTAGTAGTATATCGGATTATCTGTAAGCAAGAAGGAGAAAGATATCTACCGTGGTCGTCTACTGATACTGAAACCAGAAGAAGAAGAAGAAGAAGAAAAGAATCTGTTCCATTTGGCCCTTCTTTTGGAATTCTCTCCGCCCTCTGCTGATCCAATTTTGCTGAGTTACCCGAACTGCTGAGTTTCTTTCAAAACTTGACCACTGATTTGGGAAATCAAAACAAAGTTTTAAAGAACTAAAGAAAAGTCAACCCCCCGCAACAATGGTCAACTTTTTCCTCCACAGTTCGCTCGCATCCAGTCCGGTTCGGATTTGCAGCCAGCTGACAAAGAAGATCCGCGTCGCCTCGACGCTGGCGCACTTCACGCCTTCCTCTCAAGCTGCCCAAATCTCTCCAATGCCACTGCCACCGTCGCCACCACTTTCAACGCCTCCATTCCCTGACAAAGTTTCCAGTCCTTCGCTTGCTCTCTTTCCTGTTCCTTTTTACCAGCAACATCATCAGCAGCAGCTCCAGCCTTCTCCAAATCGTTCCTGGAAGGTCTTGCAAGTCAATGCTTCCGATTCTGCTGCTCAAGACGGATTGACCTTGGTCCAGGAGCAGTCTACGACGCCCACTTCTGTACAGCAGCCCGATCAGGTGCTGGTCCGCGTGCTGGCCAGCTCGGTCAGCGCGCAGGACATTGCCATGATCAGCGGTGGTGTCAATGGTTATGGTAGCTTTGTGCACTGCATTCGAGAAAGCCTCTCATCAGGTGGCGGCGGAGGCGGATTCATCAGCCGCTTCTCCGAACACCTGCCGCTGACGCCCGGCCGAGACTTTGTGGGCGCCATTGTGGCCCGTGGCCGCTCGGTGGCGCAGTTCAAGCCCGGAGATCTGGTGTGGGGCGCCATTCCGCCCAGCGAAAGTGGTGGCTCCCACACCGACTACGTGGTCACCACTGAGAAAGCGGTAAGTGCAAACCTTTCAAGCTTTCAAATGAGGAGAACTTTGAATCACATGATAATGAAATTGCTTCCATTTTGTGTCCACAGATCGCCCACAAACCGAGGAACCTGTCTAATGTGGAGGCTGCCAGCCTGCCCTACGTCGGCCTCACCGCCTGGGCGGCAATCAGCACTTTTGGCGAGCTGACGGCGCAGAGTGCTTACAAGAAAAGGTATGAACCTGTTGTTAAATAAAATTTGAGCCAAGTGTTTAATCATCATAACCATTGTTTCTATTTTAGAGTGCTCATCTTGGGCGCCGACGAGGACGTTGGCTGTTTTGCCGTTCAGCTGCTGCGCTACTGGGGCGCAGAGGTGACTGCCACCACCTGCAGCTCCGCTGGCTCCAGTCCTGACTGGCTGCAAACTCTGACTGAGGAGGGCGTCAAGTGCCCGCAGCAGGATTCAGAGCACTTTCTGGCAAACTACTCTGGGGAAGAGGCTTTTGACTTCATTCTCGACGCCTCGATCAGCAGTACCGTGGCCCGGCGCCATTACCAGCTTTTATCAAAGGCCAAGTTGCAGCAAAATGGAGAAGGTGATCAGTCTCAGGTGCTGCACTCGAAAACGGTGTACGTCACATTGAGCTCACCATTGCTCGGTGGCCTCGATTGCCTGGAGGCAACTGGAGACAGTGCTCACCTGTCTGATGGCGGTGAACTCGGAACCGGTACAGTGGCCGACGCCATCAGCGACTCACTGTCCGGCGTTCAGAAGTCCGGCGTAGGAGCAGGCGCTCCAGGGGGTCTTCGCTTTCGCTGGGCCACCTACCTGCCCAATCCCAAGGCGCTGCAGCACATTGGCGACCTGGTGGAGCGAGGCGCCATTCGACCCTTCACCGCTGGCGCCCCCGGCGCCGCCACCGTCTACGATTTTGATCGAGCACCCGAGGCGTACCAATTGGTGGCAGAGCGTCCCACTACTCTCAGCGGTGAACGAGTGGTGTTGTCTAATTTGTGAAGAAGGAAATTATTGCTACCAAAAATGATTTAAATGAATAAATGCGGACAAAAATTAAAAAAAGTAATTTTAAGTTTAAGTTCATCGTCTGCCTTGTTTGGCTTTAATGTTTAACGGTTGAACAGAGCATTTAAGCCAAAGAGTAAAAATAAAATAATATTTTTAATTTAAAAATCATTTTTTGTTTTTTAACAGTGTAGGGGCTAGGGCCCTAGCCACTACAACAGTTTTTAAAAATTGTTAAAATTGTTGAGTTGTTTAACAAAAATTTTAATCAAATAGTTTTAAAATGGCGTAAGAATAGAGATTTTTGTAATGCACGAGTTCTCAGAGAAATAAAACATCAATGAGAAGGAACTGGAACCGGAAATTTGCAAAAAAACAGCTGATTCATTAACAAACCCAGGCGACCTCAAAACAGGCACTTGACCTGAACCTGACTATCAAAGCTCATCCTGAAACAGAGTGGCTCAATCTGAAGTAGACACTGTCTTGAAAAACTAAAAATTTGCACTTTGATATTTAACGTTATCATTTCCACACACTCTTTCTACACAATTTAACGAAATTGCTTTTTCAACTTTGGCATTCTCTACAAATGGCTTGTAGATGCAATCGTACTTTTTAATGAGAATTTGAAAATCATCTAGCAATTAAAAACTATAAATGTCAAGCGCATTTTCATTTCTACATAAATAAACCTGCAAAAACTTTCCAGTATTCACTTGCTATCATCTGTTCACAAGTAAAAGACACTATTTTTCAGTTTACAAATATAAAACTACAACTTGAACAACTTCTGGTGTGCCTTACTTAAACTTATCGGCGTGAAAATGAATCGTTTTGCGCTTGTGATATTCGCTCTATTCACCATCCTGCCAACTGCAGAGCTATTGTTGGGCGGACACCTTGCTACGGCCTATCATGGATCCATTTTTCGCATTGGAGAAGATATAATTGACTCTTTGTGGCACAACCATGAGCTTGTGCGTTTTGACTTCTGCACGGCGACCTTCATCTCATACGAAGTCTTGATTACAGTCAAGCACTGTTTGTATGTTTAAAACTTTTATTTACAAACATTACAAAAAACTTAAAACGTATTTTTGTACTTAGCCATTCTACAGGACCGAATATTCGAGTGAAATTGACTCGAGCTAATGGCAAAGAGTACTTTTCTGCAGCAAAAATCTACTTTCCGGAATCTATATATAAAGGTGATCTAGCACTGGTGGTTTTGAAGAAGGCTTTACCTCGATCCGAAGACATTGAACCAATGCAAATTGATCGTCATGTAGCTAAATGCGGCGATGACGTAGTGTTGTACGGTTATGGCTTCAGTGATACGCGACATGGCACTTTTTTCGGGTTAATGGCAACACTTTGGGATGAACTGACCGATCCTTATTTGCGATATTTGAAAACGAGAATCCTTGAAAGGAACTGCTATGAAGATGATTTCATGAAGACTAAAGTATCTACTGGCACTGGATGTATTGTAAGTAGTTTTTCACATTAAACATTTGTATTTACAATTTTTGTAATTTTTTAGGGTGATTCCGGGGGCCCACTGTTGAAGAACGGACGCATTATTGGAATTTTAACTGGTGGAACACAAAAAGACAACATTTGTGCTATTGGCTACGAAAATCAGTACACTAGAATAAGTGCATACGTGCATTTTATCAAAAAGTTTGTCCAAATTGAATAATGTACATGTAATCGCTAGGACCTCTACCACTACACAAAACACTTTTTGCTTTTTAAAAAATTCACGTTGTCAACCGTTAATCTCTCCCATTGATTATTTAACCAACCAATTGAACGACAAAAATTCCAGTTGTAAAAATAAGTTAAACATTAAACAGCTTTTGTTTATCATTTAAAGCATTGCAAAGTCATTGGTAAAGCCTCTGAGAAAGCTGCATCAAACCGGCAATGGCGCATAGCAGGGCTAATAAGCAAGCAGACAGGTGAGCAATGGAAAGCACCTTTTGCCTAGTGCGTTCACTGCCTCTTAGGAAGTACAGACTAGACAGCTGCAGTAGCTGGTAACCATCAAACGGACGTAGTGGAATCAAGTTGAAGAGAATCATGCTGAAGGACATTGAAAAGAGGTACCTGGAAAAGAAATATAAAAGTAGTTAGTTGAGTGCCAACATGGTGCAAAAAAGCAGTGCAAAAACAGAGGGTACCTCATAAACACATCCAGCTGTTGGGGAAGAGTAAGGGGCAGAAAGGAAAGTCTCGGCTTTAGGGGGCTCACCTTCACCGCCTGAAGCAGCTCCGCCGGCGGGCCCCAGAAGAGAATGTTCATGGTGGAGTGGCGAGACTCAAGGGCAATTACCAGCAGACGAACGGTGGGGACGGTCCGGTGAAGGGCCTGCAGGCAGACACTGTCGCCGAAGTAGGTGGGCACGCAGTCGGCGCTGCTGGTGCACAGCTGCGTCGCCGCCTCAGTCACCGGACGCACCGGCAGGCAGGCCTTCCGGTGACGTAGGGCAAAGTAGCTGTTGTACCTGTTGATCACTTCACCACTGAGGTGGTGCTGCTGGTGGTCAGCACTGGCTGGTGGGGCAACAGACTGAAAGCTGCCCTGCTTTAAGAAGTTGGCCACATACTGCTGTAAATTACTGGTTGCTAAAAGTGGCTGTAAATCACAGTCTTGAGGAGGTTCCATCGCGTCAGTCGTCGTTTGCTGGTGAACAGTGTTGAGGAGAAAGCACAGATTTTTTCCACTGGCGTTGTGATCATCATCGCAACAAGTTTCAAAAGTGCATGGTGGTAAAATTGAGCTGGAGTACTTTGCGAGGAAAGACGAAGAGACGCAAAAACCACTTTGGTGATCTGTATCATCAGATACCGAAGCAGTAGTTGGCTGCATACTGCTCAACAGTTTTGTCCAATCCTCATAGCTGTTCATTAAGCGACCATTGATGCTGGTGATCACCTCACCAGGTTGAAGTGCATTTGGACCAGTAGATAAGCTCGATTGCTAAAAGTTTAAAGCTCAAATAAGTATAAATAACACAATTTTAAAACGATAGAAATTCAACGGACCGGATGGACTTGAGTGACTATTAGGCCACCATAACCAGTGCCGTACAAAAGGTGCAGCGGGTTAAGGTAAAAGGCTATGAGAACAGTGAGCAAACAGAGGACGGCATTATTTATCAGACCCGCAGAAACAATTTCCAGCTGCCGAAAGATCATTGGTCTGTTGTTTGAAAGCCTTTTCATTTCATGTTCCCCGTGACTAGCGTTCTCCTGTGGTTCATCGAGAATTACCACAAAAGCCATTGGCAGACAAATGAAAAGAGATATTCCCACTGATTCAATTTGCATACGGTGCAGTTTTGCTGCAAGCGCGTGACCGGCCTCGTGAATTACTGAGCTGATGGCCAGTGCGGCAATAAAGTACAAAAATTCAGTCCCAGGAACGCTGACGCCGGGAATCTGAAAGATAATGTTAGATAACATTTTGATAACAGTTGTAAAGCATCGTAAAACCACTAACCACAATCATCAACCCTGGTCCGTTGTTATTATTTGAAGTAACTTCATATTGAGAACTGGCGAGTGACTCTTTGCTGTCATTCTTCAAGTAGTGACGGCTAAGTATTGCTGTACCTGACTGAATCAGTGCATCTAAAATGAAACAAAAATTAGATTAATAATGCAAACAAAAACATTTAAAACACATACTAAGTATGAGGTAGATAGCAACCGGAAAACTGACGGCTGTCAGCCAGACGCCGAGTTTGAAATACCGCTGGCCAAAACGGTACCAAGTGGACACTTTGCGGTGGTTGAACCCGGAAAACTGGGTAAAGTTGTTGTTAAGCCATCCGTTAAAGTAGTCAGTCTGCCAGGTAACTGAAAACAGCCCAATGGTGATGCCAGTTTGCTGTTGCCATCGGTTTACAGCGGATGGAATTAACCAAAGTCGACAGAGATTGACCACTGTCCAGATGGCTGCCAGTGACCAGAGAGCTGTGAACATTTTTGCAAATTTGCTTACACGTGATGCTGGTCATTAGCTTTGACTTGATGACGATTAAGTTGTGTAGAAAATCCCTTAAAAGAGGGGCAACACTTTTTTATTCGAGTGATATTCGTTTGCATGACCGACGCGTTTGTGTGTGTGTTTACACACGATTTAGCAGCAGCAGCACAGAAGAAGATACTGTGTTTACGGCGCTAATTAGGTGTTAGAACTGCGATCTAGCGGTGAGTATTGCCAAACTCAGTAAACCATTGTTAGCATTTTGTATTTTTTGTTCGTATTCTAAACTCTCTTTATCTATTACATCACAATGGGTATTTTTACTAGCATGGCAACAGCTACTGCCGCAAAAAAAACTGTAGTATTTTCACAATGCAAATATAGCTATCACTAAGACTATCAAAGTAGGCTAACTTAACAGTGGTTATAAACGTAAAACCGCTGTCTATTACTTCCGATGCTTGTTATACAAACAAGCGCAGTTGTACGGCACTGTCGTCGACGGTTAAAGTTTGGTCACATCAACGGCAAAAGTTAGTGCAGGACAATTAAAACAAACGGTGATTGTACGGTCAATGCTAGCTAATGTGAAAAGAAAGTGAAATGGGTGAAAGTGCGAGAAATCCGTAATAAACTTAACTTTTACAAGCAAAAAAGATGTTGAGGTCTCTCCACCCAGTAACCAAACATTAAACTGCATTTACTATAGTGAAATGATAAAAAGTTTGATGGTTTATATTTAATCACCTAATTTTTGAATTTTTTATTTTGTAAAACCACTTTTCTTTTTGAAATGTTTAAATGTATTTGTGACAAATAAAAATTGTTTGGACTTGCTTTAAATATATTAAAAACATTTAAATACTGTTTTAATTTTTATTTAACAACAAATGTATCTAACTTCACTAAAAAAATGATGTTTCTCTCTCTGCACTGACTTTTT